TTTCTCCTTTTACTGTTCCTGAAGATAGTGGCTCAAGAGCAGTTTTGTATCTTGCTCAAGTGATCATTGTTCATGTGTTTTATTAGACAAATCCAATGATGGTGTTAGGCTATTCAACCATCGGGTATTATCCACATACACTTTCCAGTGGATCATTCAACAGATTGTGAAATTTGATCTATAGTTTGGGATTTCTCTTCAGTACAAAAACAAGTTACATTTGTAAAGCGCCTTTTACGTCTGGAGGACGTCCAAAGGTGTTGAACAGTCGGGGATCAGGACCCGAGTGTGGGGGGGCATGATTGGGGTTAGGGAGGGCAGAGAGTTAGGAGGGCAGCTGAAAGCACGGCCGAAAAGGAGGGTCTTGAGTCGTGTCTTGAAGGAGACAAGGGAGGGAGCAAGGCAATAAACTGAACTATTCAATTATCCAATATTCAATTAACTGAATTTCACTGCATCGTTGTTAGGTCAGGATCACGAATCCTAATTCAAGAAAATAAAGTCAATTCACTTTACAGTATGTTCTGTGAAGCACTTGGCGACTTCTCAATGATGTGATAAGACACTATATCAAATGCAATGATTATTAATAATTAGATAAGCATACTGATGTTTACGTTGATATGAAATGATAGGTTGAAAGTTTTATTAAATAGTAAAATAGAATGGGTATGACACTGGATAATATTGATGCCTATATGGCTTAGTGGGGCAGCTAATCCATTGAATACCCCTGTATTTGGGGTTTTGATAAGATGTTGTAGTGTTTCAAGAAGGTACACGTTCTGTTGGCTACTCAATTCTGTTTTTATCAATATTTTATGTGCTAGACAACTAATATTGTCTTAAGAGTAACACTTGTTTGTGATGTACTTATCAAGCTTGATTTTGCTTTGCACTGACAGAAATATAAAATTGACTGTATTAACACCAAGGTATAAACTAATTTTCTACCCTTGGTTTGGTGTGAATATTGTGTATTTCACAGTACATAACAGTATTTCACATGTGCCAAAAACACAGATGTCAGTCTTAGAGAAATAATAATGAAAGAGATGTCAATAAATTGGTTTAATTTTAATGTAGTACAGCAGTCGATTGTGCTAAAGGGAAATTTGGAAAGTGGTGAAATCTGCAATAGAAATAACAGACAGGGAGTATAAATAGTATTTTAAGGATGTGGTGGTGGCTCACTAATTGCTAAAGACATTTGTAATNAAAAAAACTTACCAGCAAAGAAGGAAAACATCTCAAAGTCCTACAGAAAGAAAACTATGAGAAAATTGTCAATGAGATCAACAGATCAAGGTCCAAAGCACTATCAGAAATGCTTTAAAGATGTCATAGTTACCATCAAATGTTTTATGACGACACATGAAAATGCCTCTTGAATTAGTCAGAACAATCAAACGGCTTGGCACAAATGTGTGGAACTGAATGGATGTAATGCAGCAATTAATTAACTGAAGGTACATTAGTTTTGGAAAATACACCTATTATTTCCATGACCTTCCATGAACAGCAACATGAACTTAGATCACTTTAAAAACTAAAATTGTCACAATTTTCCTTTTCTGCTTACTTGTAATTTTATGAAATAATTTAGTTTTGAATTCACTGCAAATATAGTACAATATCTCAACATGAATTTATAAGAGATATGCAATATGTTCATTTAATTCTTCGTACAACATTGTGAAAGTATGTCCTTTTGCCATCCAATATAAAATAGAATTGTTTTTCAGGTACTCGTACTGATATGAAGATTATGCAAACCAACTAACACTCCTCTTGCAATGTTCATATCAAATAATTATTAATAACCCTTGCATTTGATATAATGCCTTATCACATCTTTGAGGTGTCTCAAAGCGCTTCACAGAATATACTGTAAATTGAATAGATTGTATATTTTGTGGGTGAATCACAGCAGCCAATTGCGCACAGCTGTCGTAGATTGATCAATTTTTTTAAAAAAGGAATTATTACCCCCAGAAAAGTGATCCACTAGTCAACTAACAACTGGGTTCCTACTTACTGATAGGTTTACAGAGGCGTGTGGAGTAAGGAAACTTGGCCAACGCTTCGCTCTGCCGGGAATCGGACCCAGGTCTCTCGCCTGCGAGCCGAGTGCTCTAACCAGAGCTACAGGAATCAAAGTACAGTATTTGCTTTCCAATCCTGACATGGGGTTTGATTCCACAACCTTCCAACTCAGAGGTGTGGGAGCCACCAAACGATCCATGCAAGTTCTTTCTTCTATAGGGTGTCTCTGGCTTCCAATGTTATACCTCATTTTAAAAAAAAACACAAATCAGACAATATGCAGTGAGTAATTCATTGCTATTGCCAAGATTCTTTTGATTTAAATAATTTTTATTTACAAATTATACACGTTACTTAAATCCGTGGGTAAGGCTTCTCTATTTTCTTCCTATTTCTTGGCTCCCTAATTGCACTAATTCTAATCTTGCATGAACTGCTCCCAAATTTTGATCAATATTGCTCTAAAAAGGGATTTGCAAGGATGGCTTCTGGATTACTTGTTACTCAGTTCTTCCTCCTTGTGGGTGAAGAATTTGATGCCCGCTTGATACTACTTGACAGAAATGTAGTTGATGATGGAGCTCAGCAGTCTAGCAGATTCAACCTGTTTCCTACCACAGGTTTTGTTGGCACTCCAATGCACTGCTGATCAGTATAAAATATGTATTTTATTAATCACAGCAATTCTTTAAAATTTATTGTGGATAGCTTTCAAATAAAAATGGTATGTGAATATATAAATAATTTTGTTCATACATACAAAACCAATTAAATGTACTGTGTAAATACAACATGATTTAGCTCACAAATACACTTGAGATTTTATTTACATGGCGGTAGCTCATACATAAATATTTTTACTATGGATTTATGATTCTACACAATTAGTACACGTATAAAAAATACAAAATTACATGTTCATTTGGATATACTTAAGCAATTTGTAATGTATATGCAAACATATGAATATTTTCTATAGTCTATACATCTGTGAATAATTGAACACTTTGAGATGTCCACCTAATGTGAAATGAGCTATATAAATGGAAATCTGCATTGTATTGAATGTCTCAACTATGTTTGTACAAATCTCTTTTGTTGGTACATAAATGTCCACTATATACACAGGTAACTGTGAATGCTTATGATATTTGCATACAACATATTTATCCTTGTATGTAGAAGTATAACCAGTACAACGACGACTTGGATTTATATAGCACCCTCCACGCCGGACGTCGCCTTCAATAGTATGTTTCCAGTGCCTTGGGACGTCCTCCCGACGTGAAAGGCGCTACACAAATGTAATCTTGTTGTTGTATGTTTCTATATTGTGTTTAAACAGTCTGTGCTATGTTTGGTTTGTCTGTTACGCTACTACATATCCAGTTTAGTATATATTTGGATATTTGGATATTTAGATGATTTCCATTTTATGCTCTAACTGGGGTCCAGGTATACATACATGACTGCAATTATAGTTTAAAACAGCTAGAAATGTGAAATAAAAACAGAATTGCAGAGCAGGTCAACCAGCATCTGAAAGAGAAAGCCACATTAACGTTGGGGTGTGCCAACAGATATAATTGCTATCTATTTCCAACATGTTTTAGTTTCATAGACACATGCCATGTTGTCAGATACAGTAATATATATATATAAAAAACAATATCATCTCAATCAATGAGAAGGGAGCATAGTCTGAGGCTTGTTAGCAGAACGATTAGGGAGAGGTTGGAATGAATTTCTTTACTCTGAGGGTTGTTCGGTCATTACCTATAGTGATTGAAGCTGGATTAATACAAATCAATAAAAAGACACTGGTAAAAACTCCTTCATAAATGCCATATATTCAATTCGTACATGTGTAGATTCTGTTGGTTGCTCATACACACATACGTTTAGACTGTACGCTGGCTGACACCATGGGCCTTCTTCTGTAAATTCCTATATACATGTATATAGGTAAGAAATCCTCTATTTGTGTGTGCATATACATGATCAATCAGCTACAGTCAGCTATGTGCTTAATCAACACAATATACATATGTGTAAGAAATGTGTGTGAGCAACCAATCTATATATAGATTGATCATGTATACACACACATATTTCCTACCGATGTGCAGACTATGCTGTATACACATGCACATTTCCTATCCTTGGGTAGACTATGTTGGCTGATCATGTATACACGCACACACTGGTGTGCATTTCCTAGTGCAGATTGTATGCTATCCGATCATGTACACACACATTTCCTACCCATGTATGCTGTCTGATCGTGTATACACGCATCATTATTTCCATCCCATGTGTGGAGCACTGTATGCTATCTGATCATGTATATATTCAGACACACATTGCCTACCCATGTAGAGATGATTTGCTATCTCATCATGAACACACACATCTGCTACCTATATGCAGACTATATGTTGTTTGATCATGTTTACACACACACAGTACCTGTCAGCAGACTGTATGCTGACTGGTCATGGATACACACACACCCTACCCTTGTGCAGACTATATGATATCTCATCATGTATACACACAGACACACGCACACATTTCTTATCCATGTGAAAAATGTATGCTTGGCCGATCATGTACACATACATTCCCCACCCATGTGCGGGGCTGTACGTTATCTGATGTACACAAACATATCCTACCCCATGTGGGGACTATATGCTATCTGAGCATGTGTACACAAGACACTTACGCATTTCCTACCCGTGTGTGCTTGGCTGATCATGTACACCCACATCCTACCCCTGTGCAGTGCAGTGCAGGCTGTACTGGGTGTCTGTGACTCGGGCTCTCCCTGCAGCGAGCGCGGCGCCATTTTGCGCGCTCTCCCCTCCCCCGCCGCGCCGTGCGTGCGCTCCCTCAGCCTCCAGCTCAATGAGAGAAAGCGCCGCCGCCGCCGCCGTACCGCCACACAGATCATGCCGCGCGGCCGACCTCCCAAAACGGCGACAAAAAACTCCGAGACACCAGGTACAGAGGGAGGGCGGGAAGGGCGACGGGTGAGAAGGTGGTGGGGGGGGGGGGGAGAAACGAGAGGGGGAAAAAAAAAGATGGCGAGAGAGGAAAAGAAATACACACTCAAAAACACACACACACACACACAAAGGGTGTTTGAAATTAAAAAAAAGGATAAAGCCGGGCACGGCGGGAGGGGAGGAGGCGAAACGCAGCAGTAGGAAGAAGAGGAGGGAGGGGTTGTTTTGTGAAGGGAAATAAGTGCTCACCGGCGGTGCCTGTCCTGTGCGGGACGCGAGCGAGCGAGCGGGCGAGCCGGCGGCTGAGTGATGAGGTTGTTAGTGTGAGCGGCCGGGCGCATGTAGTCCCCGGATATGGTTGGTGAGTGAGTGAGTGAGCGGAGCGGGCGGCTCGGTCCCTCTCTGTGTGTGTGTGTGTCTGTGGGTGCGCGAGGGAGGCAACGGCCGGGCGGAATGATATCAAGGCGAAGATACAAAGGGGGAGATGAGAGAGCGGAGGAGAAATAAATCCCGACACAAAGTCGGCGCCAACCGTCACTAACCGCCGCGCTCTCTCTCTCTCTCTCTCTCTGTGTGTGTGTGCGTGTGTCAGCTTTGGCTGAGGCTCAGCTTCACAAAATGGCCGCGTCCACAGCGACACCACAGGCACACACAGAGAGAGAGAGAGAGAGAAATATAGGCCGCGGCTTCGCGTGTGTACCGTTCGATTTGTAACACCGGACGTGCCCTTTTTTTAAAGAAAAAACACCCAGAAATATATATTTTAATAGCGGGGTCCGGTTTTCCCCTCCGCCCCTTCTTCTCACGGACGCACCGTAATAAGCAACAAGGCTGCCCCCCGGGCACCGCCACACACAACAACAAACGTATCACATTTGCGAAGCGTCTTTCATGTCCCCGCGCACTCCGCCTCCTCGGTGTTCAGTTGACAGCCGCTGGGGTCGTGTTTTATTTCAAAGTAGATTTGTGGTAAGAAGGCAAAGTCCCCCCCCACCCACCCCTCACCCCCTCCTCCCTCCCGCAGGTACTCTCCAGGAGAGTGAAATACGAAACATCCCGACAAGATGGCCGGGGTTCCTCCATCCCTCTTTTAACTTGTTTTTTTTTAAAAAACTCTCCTTCCTCCCCCTTTTTGTCTCTTGCAGTTTCTCTTCGTTTTTTGTTGACGCGTTAAACGGCAATTAATTCCCGTGAATTGGGATTGGGGTTTTTTTTTGGGCTTCAAATCGAAACAAAAGAGAAAAATCCTTTTTTTTTAAAAGTTTTTTTTTCTCTCTCTCTTGCAAAGAGAAGGAAGTTTCTCCCCATGTCCTGGCCAACAACCCCCCCCCCCCCCCCCCCCAATACAAAATGGGTCGTTTACCTCTTGGCTGTTTGATATGATGGTCCGAATTGCCTGTGCACCTACAAAATGCACAGCCACTACACTTAACATAACATCCTGTGAAGCTTCTTATCGACGTGAAAGACGTCTATATATGGAAAGTATCTTGTTGCTGGCGAAGACTGAAATTGCCAAAGTCAACAGATTTGCGTAGTTTATAAATGTAACCTTTTTCATTATTTTTAAAAAGTGAACTTTTGGATTTGCAACAACAACGAAATTACATTTGTATTACGCCTTTCACGGCGGGAGGGCGTCCCAAGGCGCCGGGCAGACAGTGTTACAATACAGTGTGTTATTACTCTTTTTTTTGTATACTTTAAGGGGACTTTAGATGAGGACAAACCCAGTCTTGGTTTGTTTGCGTTTATGTAACCTCATGTGGCAATTGAGAAGTGATAAAAAAGTAGCACCTCAAAATGTTTTTATTAAAATTGAATTTTGACATGACAGTCATGCAACTCAAAACTTCTGATATGAGCAGTGTTTAAGATCACTTACATTGGTAAACAAATCATTTGTGATTTCTGTCATCTGTTTTCATTTTCAGTAAGTAATCTGGTGTGTGCCATTGATTACATTTTCTGTAACCTTTATCCTCTGATGAAATAGAGAACATTGCCCCATTTTCTTAACATTGCTGGTTGTAGAATAGTCCTTCCTGCAATCTAGTTGTTTGGTTATGAGCTGGGCCAATAGAAAAGTGGAAATATTTACCCTAAATTGCGGTGAAATTTGGGTGGGGTGGTGGTTGGTGCTATTGATGTACACTTTTCTGCCCATCTACATTTTTTTCACTTTATTCATAAAAACTAAACATGAGGAAATAACACATATTAGACTCTTGTAATTTTTCAAAAAAAATTAATATCTTTAACAAAAACTGGGTGGCCCGTGGTGGGGAGGGGGGACACCAGCGCAAAGATCCGCCAAAAAAGACTCAGGACCAGTGTCCTGACTGGGGCTGCAGGGGCTCACCACCTGCTGCCTCTCAGGTTCTGGCACTACAGGCACAGAGGCCCAGAGTGAGAGACATACACTCAGAGAGAGAAATACATACACACACTCAGAGACACAGAGACACACACACTCAGAGACACACAGACACATACAATCAGAGAGACACACACACTCAGAGACACACAGACACATACAATCAGAGAGACACACACACTCAGATACACACAGACACATACAATCAGAGAGACACACACACTCAGAGACAGGGAGAGACAGGCACACACATAGACACATACAGAGGAGAGAGACGCATACACACTCACAAGCACATAGAGAAAGAGACACAGACACTCACAAACACGTACAGAAGAGAGATACACAGACACTCAAACACACATACAGACAATCACAGCTGCGGGGCCTCCCGAGTGGAGCAATGCCCATTTCCCGCTTTTGCAGCACCGCGCATCTGGAGCCACTCCGCCAACAGGAGTCGGGCAAACAGTGTGAGGGGCCTGCAGGTCCATAGCGGAGGCCCGGGGCCTGCAGGTCTGTAGCGGAGGCCCAGGGCCTGCAGGTCTGTAGCGGAGGCCCAGGGCCTGCAGGTCTGTAGCGGAGGCCCTGGGCCTGCAGGTCTGTAGCGGAGGCCCGGGGCCTGTAGGTCTGTAGCGGAGGCCCAGGGCCTGTAGGTCTGTAGCGGAGGCCCAGGGCCTGCAGGTCCGTAGCGGAGGCCCGGGGCCCGCAGGTCCATAGCGGAGGCCCGGGGCCTGCAGGTCCGTAGCGGAGGCCCGGGGCCTGCAGGTCCGTAGCGGAGGCCCGGGGCCTGCAGGTCTGTAGCGGAGGCCCGGGGCCTGCAGGTCTGTAGCGGAGGCCCGGGGCCTGCAGGTCTGAAGCGGAGGCCCAGGGCCTGCAGGTCTGTAGCGGAGACCCGGGTGTTTGTGTTACGTTCTACTGGAGGCCCAGAGCATTTGTAGCATTTGTGGATTCCATGGAAAGAAAGTGTGGCTGCACTTTTTTATTGATCCAGGTTATGAAACTGTTCAAACTAAAAATAAAGAAATAAATAAATTTTAATTTTAGATTGAAAACTTGTTTTGGTTCTGTAATAAGTATAGGTGATCTAGATTTATATTGGGTTCTGTCAGATTTGTGCTTAGTTTTTGACCATGGTATTTCTAAAACCTGCTTACACTAGAGAGCTGTTACTGAACACCAATACATTGAGGGATATTCAATGTAGTCAAAACACAAAATGCTGGAAATGCTGGAAATCTGAAAACAAAAAGAGAACATTACTCCTAGAGTAACGTTCTTTCATAAACATCAAATTTGCCTCATTTGCACAATCATCTGTTGTACTTACTAGTTCCCTCCAATCCTTGGCTTTTTTTCTATCTTTTTTATTCTTCTAAGAATGTAAAATATTTGTCTCAGAATTAAGAAAAATGCAATGGAACAACGTATTTTTAAAAAAATCAAATGGCAAGTAAAAATCAAATGAGAAAAAGATTTACAGTGCCTGAAATATTTTTGGAGAAAGTGAAAAAGAAAATGTTAGATGGCAAATAAAACAAAAGAAAAATATAGACAAGTGTAAAGCAATATAAGGAGAGAAATGCGGAGTGAAAGGTTCATTTAAAAAAATACTTTTATAAAGTGCTAATTTTCTGCCTCGACTTTTATGGTTGGGTGGGGGAGGAGAGGGGGAGAGAATTCCAATTAACGGTATCCTGGGAATGACCTTCCAGTGATTGTGAGAAAATGTTACAAGAAATGGAAAACTGAGAGACTGTACATAATAATCCTTGCATTTGATATAGCGCTTTTAGCGTCTTCTAGACGTCTCAAAGCGCTTCACAGAATACACTGTAAAGTGAATTGACTATATTTGTGGGCGAACGCGGCAGCCAATTGCAGACAGCAATGTCCCACAAACAGTCGTAGATTGAAAATGACCAACTTATTATTCTTTTGTTTTGGAGGGATTATTATTAGGCTCTGTGTGGAGTAAGGAAACTTGCCCAAGGTTTCGCACTGCCTGGAATTGAACTCAGGTCTCTCGCTTGCAAAGCGAGTGCTCTAACCACTGAGCTACAGGACTCTGTAAACCTCTCATTGAGTTTCCTTGTAGCTTGATTTGATTTAAAGTACTGACTTACTAAAGTACACGAGTGGTTTCACACGCATGATGAGTCCTTCAATACTCTGTACAAGTGGACGTCCTTAAACTAATTATGTTTTTTTAGGGTAAATTGTATAAATTAATTTGTATAAGCCTGATAGACTTCTGAAAGTTTTAACTTGATATCCAAAAGTTTTGGTGAGCCTTTTGAAAAAAATGGATGTGGTTTTATAAGCTATTACAGGTCTCTGGCTACTAGAATTCAACTTGTAAATAAATTGGATGAAGCCCCCAAAATTATACTGTGGCAAAAATGAGGGAACCTTTAGATCAACAGCACATTGTTTTCCTGCAGAGTGTCATGAGATTGGAGAAGGACAGTGAAGGTGTTCTAGCTGTTTACTTATTTGATTTTAGTTAAAAGGCTTATTAGTATTTCATGACTGCTATAATATTAACAGAATATCTTTAGAACCATTGCAACTAGGTTTGTAATCTGAGTACTCATTTAGAAGAACCATTGCTGAAG